GCTTCGAATGCTAGTGATATGGCGAATGATGCTAGAAACGCCATCACAGCATATCCAGCGTAGATGGTTAACTGGAAATCACAAAAATATTGTTAATAATCACTTAGTACAGGTGACAGAAGAAAGTATACTTATTATGGACTAGTTGTCGTCAGCCTCCGTCCGTGTTGTATTAAAAAAACTTAATTAGTAGCCTATGTCTTCTTCCAGACTATGAATTCTATTCAGCCGTTCTGGAGATACCTTTAAACAAACACACATCCATTCATCCATCCAAACATTCGCATTTATAATATTAGTAAGATTATTGTGATACAAAAATTGAATATTACTCTTGACGGATAAATTAGAACATTCGTTGTCTTTCAAATTCAACATAGATAAAGAAGAGGAAAAAGTACTTTTTTCTTTATTTTCCATAGTCTGCCATATAAAGAGGTTCATTCAAGCCAGTAGTTTAAAGGGATGGTCATGTGTTACTATAGCCACTATTAAACTTACAACTACTAATCAACTAGGATTCTTTCTACTTGATACTTACAACTATAGAGTTCTGTAGATGTAGAGGTCCATCCATGAGGAAGGAGGTGTACATCATGATGGTGGGGTGTACAAGGTAGGCGCAGTAGGTAAGCCGACTCAGTGGCAGCGCTCCGCGGTACGACAACGCGGAGTTTACCAGCCCGCCATACCCACAACAGCACGCCACCGCAACCCATGCCAGCGCCACACCCCAACCTTGAACATGATAAAGAAGATTAAAACACATAAAGGAATGGGGTAATTTACTGCGTTAATGTTTCTGCCTTATAATGACTTGAGTGCCTTCAACATAGTAAATAACGCTGTCTCAATTAAATCTTTAAGAGTATTCCGAAGACGCACGCAAGGACTTCTCAATTCAAAAATATATCTGAATGGATGTATCTTAATAATTTAATCCGGTTAAGATTTCAGTACGTGAGTTCTTTACCTGTATGTCCAATGCTGACGTAGAAAGCGGTCGGCCAAACTTCAAAGTAGCCGTCGACCATGCCAAAGATAAGGCTGGCCATAATGGCTAAGGCGCACGGCCAACCCACCGCTACTAGCCAATATGGCATCTTAACTTGGCATTTAGTTCTGTGCAAATACCATCCAACAACCATTCCTGTGCAAAAAATAAAAAATAAGAAAGTTAAGTATTATTTTTTTCTGATTAAAAAAGTATAACAAAATTAGTAAATTCTTAAGTGGTTTTTAATAATTTTTTTTTAATTTAGTTTTTACAGCATACCTTTTACTTATATTGTAGGTTGGTGTTTAAAGAGGCAAAGATTTTAAATGAAAAATATATAACGTTAACAAAAAATAAATAATAATAATATTTGTTTATAGAACTTTTTAATCTGGATCATATACATAAAATGAATTAATTACATAAATTTTATATTATTTAATTTCATTTTAAGTTTGGTTTAGTTTTAGTATATAGTTTATTTAATATAGTATTAATTAATTCATTTATTTTGTAGTGGTTAGTTATTTAGTAAGAATATATCTTTTATAATTAGGATAATTATTCTTATATTTTGTATCGAATAAACAGAATAAATAGATTTCAATTATGAAAAATGCATGATCAAAGCCTCTAAGTAATTCATAACAATGTAAAACCTGAAGCCAATTCTAATAAAATGGTCTTTCACAACTTTATAAAAGGGATCGATTGAGGCAATAAAAGAGAATGTGATCGCTTCATGTGGTTACTTTATAGTCAATGAGAGCAGAACTTACCGATTAAGTAGGGGCCTATTCTGGACCACGGCTTATCGTACAATGGATCAAACATTTCGAAGGGTTCCTGAATACGCGCTTTATATTGATACCATACTGATATGTAGATTGTCGTCGCCCAAGAACTCGCTAGCAGCAATATAAGTGATATCATCGCAAATTTTATATGTCTGTTGAACAAAATTTGGGAAACCAATTAATTTCACTAAGTTTAACTCCAAAAAGTACATAAAATAATTTTTTTATATCAAAAGGTGGCAAAGGAGCGAGCGGCCACCTGAAATAGCTGAAATAGCGAAGCGACCGTTGCCCATAGACATACGCAATTGCATATACGTTGCCTACCTTTAATCGACGGAGGATAGGATGCACAGAAAGAAAATATTTTCCGTCCCATGCATCCCCTCAGCCGGAAAGTCCACTTCCACTACCCATCCTTTTCTTATAAGAAAAAGGACGGGAAGGGAAAGAGGAATAAATTAGGCCTCCGGGACGCACACTCATGAGACGAAATGCGGAATTCCTTCGACTTCACGTCTGTCTTCTGTGTGGTCGTGGTATTTCACCGGGCGAGCCGGGCCAATTCATGCGGAGATGTTAAAGCGGGCTCTACAGCTGTTAAGTGTAAGTGTAATGCAATTAAAACTGTAGAAAAATTAAATATTGCTACTTACTTTACTGATATCAATAATAATATGATTCCAACAACATAGAACTGTGTGTCATTAGCCATGTACCACGACCACACCATGCACATCTCCCTTTGAGGGAACAAGTTGTTGATGTAGAGAAGATTTCGCCACCAGAATCGATCGCACGTAATATGGTCAAAGATAGCTGGCTCAAAGACTGTTCTGTCATGAGTATATCTTAACGCTATTTCATTCAGACCAATCACAAAAGCGTACGCTGGTGTTAACCTAACTATACGATACATCACTAGAACGAAAAATGATTTAATCATTTTGAATATTTCTCCCTTCGAGTATACACTATTCTTTGGCTGATCTAGCAAATCTTCACAGAAAGATTGTTGACTTATCACAGAAACTGAGAGAGCTGAATTTGTAAAACCATTTGTATTCTTGTTAATATCGATGTTTGTTTTCTTCTTTTCCATTGCAATTCTTCGTGCAGCTGCTTTGTCTTCGCTTCTTAGGAAAAGGACTGTTACAAGCAAGCCACTGAAATAAAATGTTTATAAAATGATTCACATGTAGTAATATAAACAAGTCTTTCATGGGATGAGTCTAGCTTAACCTAAATAGTGAGGCCTTAATCAACCAACGTTAACCCAAGATAGATTGGTTGATTAGAAACATCTCTTCATACTATTTTCATTCAATTATTCAAACTTTCGTAAGACATTATAACAAACTACTCAGTGAGTGACGGGCCGCGACCGTGAAAAAATACCAGTCCCACTCACCCCGAT